TTTTTTTTTCTTTTTTTTTTTTTTTGAAGGCTACAAAATTATGCAGTCACTCAAATAACTTCGAAATCTATTTTATCATAAATTATTGAGTCAAGCTACACTATACTCAACAAATATAAGTTTTGCTAAAGTTAAATAGCTTATAGAAAATATGCGCTCTTGAAAAAAAATATAGGTAGATTCTTAAAGGAGACCGAATATTTAGTAATTTATGAAGCGCAAAATGAATAAATTCTTTTTTTTTTCACTTGTGATTCGTGTATATACGAAATCGCAGTATATACGCTAAGCAATAAAAATATAATAGCGTTTATATTGTTGATCAAGAATAATAAAGGCGTTACTAACCTGCTCGCCCACACTCGACATGACTTTTTGACCTTCATTACCTCGGATGAGGATAGAATTGCGTCCGTAAAAGCAATGTAGACGCCATGGTTCTTTGTTTAAGATGGTATAATATTCATGTACAAAGAGCCACCCGACTTTAAATGAATTAATTTTTTGTCCTGCAACAGGTGTGGGTTCTGTGGTGGCATTTTCAGAGAGGTTTGTTGCCGTTTCGGCCATGATTACGAGTGAATAGGATATGTATCAAACTATTTATATATTTTGGGTAGCAAGTTAGACTTTATCACTTTGTCTGAGTTTATTACGGAACGAAGATTTTGGAATTTGAAATGGGTAGGGTGGCTTTTTATATTCGACAAATTTATAGGATTTGTACAACCAAACTCCGGTAGTCCGTTTGTTGCAAAAAAAAAAATACAATGATTTACCCAACGGACGAATAATATTAAAAGATAAACTATAAACATCACATGATTATTCGACATCTAATTTTTAATGATATACATAAAAGAAATTCTAATAACATCTACTACTACTCATAATAAATTAAAATCTATCTACGATAAATTGAGAGGCTAATTTTTCCGCCTTTAATCTATAAGCCTTTTTTAATAGAACAATCGACAACTTTTAAATAAACTTAATTCAACAAACACAATAAAATAAAATATAATTAAAATATAAAATAATTAAATATAAATAAAAATCATTTTAATTTCGCCCAAGGCTAAATTATAACCACTATAACCGACGAATGTTCGTTTCTTTAATCTAAGTTTAAATAAAGATAAGTAAAAACAAAAGAAATTATTTAAAAAAAAAAATATGTAAAATATAGTATTATACAGAAGTAGCAAAATGAACAATTTACCATAATTTAAAATTGGACGTAACCATTTTTCAGTTTCTTCTAAATCCTTATTAATACGTTCTGTATAGCTTATAACCTACAAAAGTAACAAATTATTTTAATTTTACCATTTAACAATTATCGTAGACGCTGGATCAATGTACAAGATCTATGATGTACAAAATGTGCTCAATGCACATTGTGCACTTTTTTTTACTGTCAATTTCAGCATCCAGAATTCCGACAATAATTATGCCAATATTATTCTATAATAATTATTAACCTGATCTTTTTCAATTTTTCCAACGGCGAAATACTGCGATTCAGGATTTGCGAATACCAAAGCTGTAATGACAAATAAAAAGTTTCTTAGGAATATGATACTATCCATATACTTAATTAAAGTTCTGCAGGTTCCGAGCACCAATAGCACTATGTTTTAGCAATACCGTACCATCACTTGCAGAACCCTAATTTATATCATAGCTAAATATACCTGATACGCTAGCAGCGGGTAACATAGCTAGTCCATCTGTCAACTCGATTCCCGTTTCTTCATAAATGTTCATCAACTTCCACATTGTAGATTTTTCACGATGATCAGGTTGTGACGGATACGCAGGAGCAGGTCGAATTCCCTGATATTTTACACTTAACATATCTCCTAGTGATAAATCTTCATTTGGACTAAATCCCCACAATGTTTTTCGTATATCCTCATGTAAGCATTCCGCAAATCCTTCTGCAAATCTATCTGCGATTGCTTTAGTCATTATTATATTATAATCATCATTATCTTCTTGGAATTTTTTGCATAATTCTTCTGCGCCAAATATTCCTACAGCAAATAAACCTAAATAATCTGGTATGCCAGAATCTTTAGGTGCAATGAAATCGGAAAGGCAAAGGTATGGATCATCAGTTTCTTTTTGGGACTGTTGCCTATTTATTTAAATAAAGAATATATTAATTATATCTTGTAAAAAATTGGCATTCATTTTAGCATGTATAAATGTACCTTAAACCAAAGAATGTTGCAGAAGCTTTAGATCGTAATTCATCTTCGTAAACCTATGAAAAATTAAAATTATGATACAGAAAGTACAGAAAATAATTAAATAGAAAGATGTATAATAAACTGTTTAAATTGATATACCTGTATATCATCATCTACACTATTGGCTAAATAAACAATTTAAAAAGTCAATAATCTATTATAAAATTCATGAAGTTATTTATGTATGATACCATACCAGGATAAATCCCAACAATTCCTTTAGCAACAAACAATTTTTCATCAATAATTTTTTTAATAAAAGCCAATGCTTCTTCGTGTAATCTTTTTGCTTCCATGCCTAAGTTCGAATCAAAATGTAAGCATTCAAATTAAAATAAATTATCGGACTTAATACTATACTAATAATAATACTTGCCAACATGCTCATCGTTAAAAATCTTTGGAAAACCACGATTAGGATATCTTCCACGTAATTGCCTAATTCACAAATAACATTCGTTAAAAATCAATTCACCTTTCATTTAAAATTTCATCTGATAAAATCTGGTAAAATTTCATATAAAATTTCATCCGAAATTTCATCCAAAAATTTCATTCGAAATTTCATTCAAAATTTTATTCAAAATTTCATCCAAAAATTTTCATTTAGTAAAATTTTCTTACCAAACTTGAAAGAATGGATTCCAATCGATATACTCGGAAATTCGCTTCAAATCATAACCATTAATTACTTTTTTCCCAATAAATGATGGTTTAACCGGCGGTGCTTGATTTTTCCAATCTATCTCAAATTTTTTTTCTCTAGCAGCTTTTAATGACAAGTGCTTTCGATCTTTTAATGACGAATAATGATCTTCACGAATTTCTTCATATTCTTCTGCTATATCATCCCAAAATTCTTCTTTCATCTTTTCATCTAAAAGGTTTGATACCTAAGTAAAATTTAATATTAGAAACTCATATTGAACTGATCCTAAAAATATATATATATATATATAGAAAGTATCATTACCACAACAACACTCTTTGAAGCATCTAATACGTGAATCGTTGGTTGAGAATATTGGGGTGAAATTTTTACAGCAGTGTGAGCCTTGGATGTTGTTGCACCACCGATAAGTAATGGAACCTATAAAATTTATAATTAAAAGAAGTTAACGAAACCGCTTAAGAAGTTTATAAATGCAAAATTGATAATTATGATAGACATTTACATTCAAGCTACGCCTTTCCATTTCTTTAGCAACGTTTATCATTTCATCTAAAGATGGTGTAATCAATCCTGACAGACCAATAACATCAGCTTTCTCATTAAGAGCAGTTTCAATAATTTTTTCACATGGAGTCATCACACCCAAATCTATAACCTTCAAAAAATTAAAAATCATATTAAAGCAACCTTTGACCGATAATTTTTTTTTTTTTTTTTAAAAAAAAAAAAAACTTACTTTATAATTATTACAACCAAGTACAACAC